ACCCCTGCTCTAGAAGGTACAACAATTGTTCCTCTGACTTAAAGCTCGTTTTTGGAATTGTCCAAGGTCAATAAGAGTTGATCATGGAGTTTTGTTTCACCTTCCCATCTGAACTAGGCTTGGCAATGTAATCTGTGAATTTCTGTTTTGAACTACTGACAGGCTAATCAACGGGGAATAAATTGAAATTTAATCCAGTCAAGATGGAATTCCTCTTAGTTGCTTTAATATTAATGAATTGGTAGAAAGCCCTGTCCTGAATGCAGTGTCATCACATTCCCACCCAGTGCAGGAACTGCTTGGGAGTGCTTTTGGAGCCAGCCTTCCTCTGTGAAGCTCAAATGGAAGAATGATCAAGAGCAGGTTTCCGCACTTGCAACTAATTCACTAGTTATATCCTTTCCTGGAAGATAAAGGGATTTGTTCATTATTCATTGTGTCCTGAAATGCTCTCACTTCACTACTGTAATACTGGGGTTGGCTTTGAAGAGGGTTTAGAATCTGTATCTCTCATAGATATCCTCCCATAGGAGCATGTTCGGGTCCCTGTAAAAAACAAATAAATCCAAAATCTATGATGTTAATCACTATTACTGTATCCAGATGTTTACATATTTGCATAATAATAAATGCAACCTTTAAAAACTATTGTGTATTACAGAAACAAAAACAAGGCAATTAAAGGACACTATTCTGCTTCTTCATATTCTGTTCCAATGATAGCTTCTTGTCCATGATACAGGTTATGCATCAGGACGATCCAGTAAGGAGGCATACCCATATCTTTCGGGACCATACATAGCTTCCCATGATCCACACAGTCAGAGCTTTGCTGTAGTCTATAAAACATAGATATATACCTTCTTTGGAAAATTTTTGGTGCGCTCCTGTAGCCAATGTAGATTTACAATATGATCCTGAGTGCTTCTTCATTTTCAGAATCCACTTTGAGTGATGGGCATTTCACTGTCCATATAGGGTGGCAATCTGTTACAACTTGAGCATCATTTTGTGTGGGAAATCCCTTAGTCTCTATTTCCTTGGAGGATTGACATGCTTCCAATTTGTGGGCTGCAGTTTTGTTTTCCATATTTGTTGTCCTTCTTTGTAGTATTTGGACCAATTCAGTATCTCCAGCTTGAAGTAATTCTACTGGTATCCTTTCTACTCGGGGTGCCTTATTCCTTCCAAGCACTTTCACTTTCTAATATTGCAGTTTCTTTGTCATAGGATTCTCTTTGAAGGAGTTTGTCATCCTTTGATCACTTCTGTATATTTCTTCCATGTATTGGTTCCTTCTTTTCTTTATTTTATCCTTGTCAGATAGTATGTTCCCCTGTTGGTCTTTGAGCATTCCTAATCCAGGTTTAAATTTCCATTTCTTGCATCTTCTGGAAGAGGAATCTTGCATTTCCTGTCTTGTTGTTCTCTTCTATTTCTTTGCACTGGTCATTATAACAGTTCTTTTTGACTCCATGTGATAGCCGCTGAAAAGTTGCTTTCAGGTTTTGGACCCTCTTTCAATCACCTTTTACTTTTTGCCTCCTCAGCAAGTGTGTTTCTTCAAGACTTTTTCTATCTTTTTTGCTAAAGGAATTATCTTTTTGCATTCTCCTGTTAATGCCTTTGATTTCAGACCACAGTTCTCCTGATTTCACAGTCAGTTGAGGTCAGTAATGCAAATCTTTTTATGGACTTGAAATTCCTCAGGAATGTTATATAAATTGTATTTTGGCACTCTGCTTCTGTTTGTGAACTTTTTCATCTTTACTCTGATTTTTGATATTCATAGTTCATCAATATTAGAATCTACTCCTGGGTTTGTTTTGAAAGTGAGAATATAGCTTCTTTATCTTCTGTTTCCAATTACATAGTCTATTTGATTTCTGCATTGGCTATCTGGTGGTGTCCATATGTACAGTTTTCTAATCAGTTGCCTGAAGTGCATATTCACAATGAACAGAATTCTTGGCTTCACAGAATTCTATGAGCTATTCTACGCCTTTGTTTCTGACCCCTAGGCCAAATTCTTACACAAGTTTTGATTTTGTTTTGTTTTGTTTTGTTTCCTGCTTTTGCATTCAGATCACCATAGCATATCTTCTTTGGTATGTTATCAATGTTCTTTTAGACACTTGCATAAAAGTTTTCTGTTTCTTCAGCATCTGTTGCTGGAATGTAGCCTCGAATGATTGTTATGTTGATAGGTTTCCAAGAATACTGATTGATTTGGTCAGACTTCATATTATAGGTATTTATTGCCTGTGCTAGGTCTTGCCTCAATATTAGAACCACTTCATTTCTTCTAAGTTTGTCATTTCCAGATTAAAACATTTTGTGTTGTCTGACTGAAAATGGCCCATTCAGTTCCACGTTAGTCTGCTAATATCAAGTACTGTGATTTTAACCTTTCCATTTCTTGCTTTATGGTTTTCAGTTTGCCTTAATTCATATTTTTCATGTTCCATGTTCCAATTGTATGTGTTGTGCAGCATCAGGCTTTGTCTTCACATCTGTGCGTGTCAACCTTTTGGCTTTGAGCTAGCGATGGCCCTGTGCCTTCCAACCTGGGAGTCCCATCTTCTGGCACTATTCTTGTTTCATTTTACATGGTTTTACCATATAGATTACAGACTAAAAAACATTCAGAAGTGGTTTGCCATTGCCTTCTTCTGCACACCACTAACCAGAATTAGCTTGAGTGTCACTGCTATTGCCTGTGAAAGGTCCTCCACCAATTGTTACCTTCAGCTACTGCTGCTGCTCAGTAGCTGCCCTTCAGGAGTTTCTTTGCGATTTCCATTTGAAATCTCAATTCTGTTCTGCTAATGTGACCATTACTCCCGAAAGGTGTGGATGCATCTTAGTCTGGTGTCTCAGCTTTGCCCATCCCGCCTTGGGTGTCCTGGCCAGGCGCCACCCTAATGGCCTTCTGGCAGCATTGCTCTTGGCTTTTTTGGTACTCTCAAAATTATTTCCACATTAGACTGTGCATCTAAGAGAAGAAAATACCAGGAGACTAGTAGATAATTCAAAAGAATATGTGTATCCTTGAATATTAAATAACGTTCCATCACAAGATTTATCTCCTCCCAGAAGGAAGCTGCCATTGCATATTGCCAAAACATATGAAGAACAAAAGCATTACCAGCATCACAACTCCAAAAATTAGCTAATTCAGTTAAGCCCAGTTCAGAACAACATTGTGGTGCCCAGTGTACTTGGAACAGCAACTTTGGCTGAATTAAGCATAGCCACAATCCATGACCTGCTTCAAAATAGATGATAATGAAGCAGTCCATCGAATGGGCAAGACAGAGTGCTCTATTTAATCATTTCATTATTCCGCTCTTGGTTAAGTGTATCGTATTTATTCACTGTTGATAGTTTTTTGTAGATAAGAATTGTAGGTTGCTCAAAATGTTCAGCATCAGTCAATACTTCCAATCACACAGGTGATTTTGAAGCTGTAAATGACCAAGCCTGGATGTCTAACAAATATTTCCACTGCATTTATTGCCATGCAGCTATGGCTGGTGATTTACATTTAGCATGCAGAGCAGAAAATGGCCAAAAAGTCCCAACAACAATCCAGCTTCAGGACAAACAAGCTGATAAAAAAAAGCCTGCCCATTAAAGTCTATTTTCAAATCTGTATTTTCCTGTAATATCCGGTCCTCTCACTTCCTGGCAAATTAATGGGGAAGAAATGGAGGTAGTGACAGATTTTGTTTCCCTGGGCTCCAAGATCACTGCTGATGGGGACTGCAGCCAAAAAATTAAAAGACGCTTGCTCCTGGGGAGGAAAGCTATGGCAAATCTAGACAGCATATTAACAAGCAGAGACATCACCCTGCTGACAAGAGTGCGTATTGTCAGGGCTATGGTTTTCCCAGTTGCAATGTATGGCTGTGAAAGCTGGACCATAAGGAAGGCTGAGTGCTGAAGAATTGAGGCCTTTGAATTGCGGTGCTGGCGGAGACTCCTGTGAGTCCCTTGGACTGCAAGGTGATCAAACCAGTCAGTCTTAGAGGAGATCAACCCTGACTGCCCTTTAGAAGGCCAGATCCTGAAGACGAAACTCAATTACTTTGGCCACCTAATGAGAAGGGAGGTCACACTGGAGAAGAACCTAATGCTGGAACAATAGATGGCAAAAGAAGAAGGGGACGGCAGAGGATGAGGTGGCTAGATGGAGTCACTGAAGCAGTCGGTGTGAGCTTAAGTGGACTTCAGGGGATAGTGGAGGACAGGAAGGCCTGGAGGAATGTTGTCCATGGGGTCGCGCTGGGTTGAACACGACTTCGCAACTAGCAACAACAACAACAAATTTTCCTATAAAGTTAATTTTGCATGTGGAAATGTATCACAGTCATATGTAAATACAAAAAATAACTTAGAAAGGCAAGATTCTTGGATCCATCACCCACATTACATTAGACAGTATCTGTTATTGTCTGAGTGATCAATTTGCTTATTGAGCATTTGAATTAGTATGCATCCTTACTTGTTGCTTTCTTGCATATAAATAGAAGCTAGACAAAATACAGTAAGAGAAGGTAATTCAGTAATGGTAGCTCATTTCCACTGTTAGTGGATGTACAGGATAGCTAAGTTCAGATCCCTAAATATTATCTTCTGAATCAATGTGTTTGGGATTGCACTGAACTGAGCCAGGAAGTCCCTACCTCAGACAGAAGCCATGACCTTACTTGGTTTATCTTAGGGAAGCTACTATTCATCCCTACATTCACCCATCTCCAAAATATGAAAATAATTATGCTAAGCCTTCTTCATTAACATCACATGTCCTTTGAACATGCTGCTATGCTATACATATGCCCAGCTGTGGGAAACTGAAACTTTCCACCCAAATTTCCCACAGTCTTCTGGACTTGTATTGGGATGCTGCTGTACCTTTCCTGCATATCTCCAGGAGTGCAACTTTGTGGAATTCCATGTCCCTCTTCTCCTGTTCCAACTTTTCTGAATTCATCTAGGTCTTAACATCAAGCCAGTTCCTCTTCACCATCCCATTGCTTGGCCTGTCTGGATACAAAGAGGGACAGGTACGACATTGGCGTTACTACACAGCACATGGAGCAAAGCTCCTGTCTCCTGTCAGAGACCCAGAGGAGCTGCAACAGTGGCTGGAAGTGGAACAGTTTTCCAAGAGTCTTCAACAGTGGCATGACAAAGATGTGAACATTGAGGGTGACCTTGTGCCTGCCAAAGTCCTCGCCGTCTTCCGAGAACTTGTGGAGAAATCAATTGTCTCATGCAATCTCATGGGTGAGTTCACTGGAGATGGTGTGAAAGGAACTCTCTCTTTTGGCACTACTTCCCTTTTCCCACTCAGTGCTTTCAGCCAGTTATCCACATCCACAGAAGCTTTCTCCTGCCCCCAATAGATCTTCATACAACTGTCCTTCTACCAAGCCTTGATCACCTGAAAGATTCCTTGGCAATCATTCAAGTGTTCTATCACAAATTTATCTATTTAAGTGGCATAGCCCTAAGAGAGAAAGCAGGGAGAAATTTCATTCTCGTGCCCCTGTTATTTATGTGTCTGAAGCATAAAATAGCTGTCAGACCAGAAGAAATAGGGTTATTTGCACATTGAAGCCAAAGAACACTGTCAAGGTCACACTGTGTGAAAAACTCATCCTGGTTAGCATGCTGTGCCCTTACCAGTTAGTAGCCATATAAGGGCCTAAGTCACTTGCACCAAAATGCTGTGGGGACTTTTTTTTAATAATATGGAATGGTAAAATGGCTGCAAATGAGGGTCAAATTGGATGGGATGTGCATAAATATCCAACCAACACAGCTTTGGCTATTGGAGGGTATAGAAATGTTTGTACATTTGTAAGTGTGAGCGTGTGCATGCTGTACAAAAAAACCCTACATACCACTATATTAAAAAAGGAAGGAAGGACGGATGGACAGACAGTCAGGCACAAAGACACACAGATCACAAATGAAACATTACATTTTATTCAAAGAGATCTATAGCACCCCTATATGTTGTTACCTAACAACATACTGGCTTTATTAAACATAATTATGCATGAACTTCAACAAAGGCACACCAAATGACCATACATATATCCATTTGCAGCTTATACCTAAAAACCTCCCATTGGAAGTTTGATTGGAAAAATGGAAGTTTGGTTAAATCCTCTACCCACTATATTATGCAGGTGGCCTTCTAACTTTGCAATCATAATATTAGTCTTTTAGCTATTGAAGGGTGTAGAAAATCCATTTACATTGACCTTGTGTTAAATTGCAAGAACTTGCATGTCCTTGAACATTTAAGAACTTTTCATCACAAGATTTATCCAAATTATTACCTCCTTCCAAAAGGAAGCTGCCATTTCAAATTGCCAAAACACATGAAGAACAGAAGCATGAGCAGCATCACACCTCAATGATTAGCCAGTTCAATTAAGCCTGAATCAAAACAACATTTTAGTGCCCGTTGTACTAGAAGCATCAACTTTCGCCATATGAAGTGTAGCCTAAATCCATGACCCCCTTCAATATAGATGATAATGAAACTGTCCATTGATGGAGTATTCCAGTTAATTATTCCTTTCTTAGTTAAGATCCTGGAGCACTCTCTTCTACCTGGCTGCAGAGAGGGAGGTATTCTTTAGTTGATACATGCTGGAGCTTAACATTAGCACATCTTGCTCTCATTCCCTCAGCGGGAGCAGAAATAGGGTAAGCATGTTCAATATCAAGATAAAAACTCTATGGAGGTTCCAAAGTTTTATGCAGGACCAAATCCACCTGTTCTATCAGCCTTACCTCCAGGGTTGCTCAGGCAAGTTCAGGCAAGCCCTCAAACTGACCCTCCAAAAGGAGGCTTCCAAAAGTGAAAAATGAGCAGAGATTGTATAGTGGGAAACAGACATTGCAGGCTGATGTGCAATATAACTTCCAAATTTGTGATTCTGGTTTCTATTATCTTAGAACAACTGCCAGTAGAATGCACAGATCCTTGTAGTAGATTAATTGAAATGTGCTGTTCTTTCTTCTTGGACCGCTTAAGATAACTATAGTGACATATTCTTCAGCAAAGTGACAGTCTCATCTTCCCACCCCACCATCCCTGTAGTAGAACTCTTTCCAGGAGGTGGCTGCAGTGGGGTTGGTGAAAGTCTGACACTGGTCTTAGATTTAGAAGCTGCCCTGGCTGAACACTCCCTAAAATCCCCTAATTCTCTTAACTATGGGACTCCTTTCAGTCTTCAAGCGATTACAAAACTAACACATGCCACACTGTTTATCAAAAACAAACGAAGCCAAAATCCAGATAAGTGGGAGAGAAAATGGTCTTAATAACATTTTAAAGGCTGAAAATTTAAAAATGGCAAGGAATGACAAGAAATTTATGTCACCATCTTACCTGGTCAAATATAATAAATGACTATTTATGTATAAGATTGAAATGTCAGGGCATGCACCTTTTGTCTGGTTTCTGGTGAACTGAATTAGGAGAAGAAGAAATGTGGCAAAGAGAGGTTGAAGGGGAAAGAAGACTGGATTGGAAGACTGGAGTGCGGAGATCAGAAAACAGAGGGTGATGCTGTGGACACAGAAAGAAATGGGGCTTCATACCATATGGGTCAGAAGGAAGACTCAAGGCAATATGGCAACCATTCCACTGCTTGCAGCCTTGAAGATTTTGCTTGCAAATATGACAAGGATGTAAGGTTATCCACATAGCAATCACTTGAGAAACGAATGTGCTGGCCACATATTTCAGTACTTTTAAAATACCATGCTGAGTGTTTGGCCACCCTGCAGAAAAGGTGCCAAATGTATTTCCCTCTCACACATGCTCCTGAGTCCATCCACTTGCATCCCTTCCCAGCACACCCATGCTCAAACTGGCTATTCATTTATACCTCGTCTCTCCTTATGCCGCTTGCTTCTGACCCAGAACAGAATGGAGATGAATTGCTTCAGGAAAGTGGGTGGGGAAAGCTGCTCATACGAACTTAGCACACATTTGATTTGTGCCCCAGTATTTCAGTATGTATAAATAAAAATAGTTGCAGCTGACTACTGGTCATTTGTGTACCATGGACTTCAGTGCTCATGAACCTTTGGGCAAGCCATATTTTCATATGGTAAGAGTTGCTCAGTATCTTGTTCTGCTTCTGTCTTGAGTAATGGCTCCAAAAGGGCAGTCACTACATAACTTCAAGTCTTCTTTAGGAACTTGGAGTGAAGAGCACATGCTTGACATGATAGTTTTCTGATCTTCTCACTGCCAGCTCATTAATTGATTTATCTAGTTAATTGTGGACATTCAGTTTGCAGGATGGCCCTTCTATGCACTTTGTTACATTTTATGTTGCTGTGCAGTTTTAGGGTACACAGATTATTATTCAGACTCATCTTATGGATTGCTGGATCTTAATTGACCCCAAAGTACTGTTGATATGGAACAGAGCGTTATTCTCCATAGTGTCTGTGCATCACATATATGGGCTCTGTGCCTGTACCAAAGGCTCACTTTGAAAAACTCCTATAGCGGAGGAACTTTTGGCAGCTCCCACTCACCACCATAACATGCACATGCCGGGTGAGTTCCTACTTGTTCCCTCAGTGCCTCCTCAATTGCAGTTATGGCAGCCTTGCAGGAGCTTCCTTTCATTTACCGGATGCACTTTTCTAGAAAAGTCTCAATGAGCACACTCAGCACCAGTAAATCAGGAAGACATATCACTTGGATCTGCTGAGATTCCTCCTCTGTGTCTCTAATTATCAGGTGGCCATGACATGTTCTCAGCTTTTCTTGTGGGACAAGATGGATCTCTCTGTGACTACTTGCCAGTGCATTAGAGGGAACTGGCAAGAGCAAATAAGGTGGAAGTGTCTCACCCTTGTTGACAGCAAATTAATGTTACTTAACATCAGGTGGCCATGATGCCAAAGTGATGCTCAGAGCAGTGGCATGGAGAAGAGATGCATGGCTGAAGCCTGCTGGGTCATTGCAGGCCTGCTCTGTCATATAGGGTGTACCATTTGACAGTGACAAACTTTTCAACTCTAAAACCAACGAGTGCATGGGCACAGTCCAAAAGGCAAAACTATGACCATGAAAATGAGACTGAACCACATTTCCCCATTATAAGCAGCATAAATGGTCTCATCTCTCCACTATCTTTTCATCACAAGTGAGCAGGGGCCCCCTTTTTACTAATACATACCCTCCATATTTTTTCTTCAGTATCTAGCTTCCCAGTACTGTTCCAGCTGCAAGAAACCCAAATCCAATATTTTTTTTTTATTATCCCCATCTCATTCATCCTTCTTGCAACTTCATCTTTGGCTCTTGTCCGCCTTCTTTTCTCCATGCCTGAGAGCTGATTCCAGGGCCCTCAGTATCATCCATCAAGGCTACAAGATCAGTTAGGCATCCTTCACTCTTTAGAAATAATTTGTAGCACCAAACATTTGCCTGACTTGACTTTGGATTATAAGGACTCAAAGGGTCCACACAGAGGGTACTATGTTCCCTGCCTCCCACCTTAGCAAATATGGTGGGGTTCCTACTCCCAAGTCCTCCACAGTACCTGAAAAGAATGGAGGAATTTGATCATCCCTGGACATTCAGGTTGTTAACTCTTCTGTTACTCCTAGAAATTTTCATATAAATACTTTATCATCAATATTTCCATTGTCACATAAAGGAGACTGGTCTGCTTCCATAAATTTGAGAGATCCACACTTTCATACTGCAACAGAGGACACACACCAATGTTACCTTCGCTTTATTGTTGGTGTGGTACCTACCAATTCTCTGTCCTCCCATCTTCGAATTATAGAGTTGAAATGGGCCAGGACATTGGGTCCAACCCCCTGCTATTGAAGGACACTAAGTTATACCACCCTGCTCAGAGGACTTTCCAGAAGTTCTTGAATGTCTCTAGTGAGGGAGAGCCCACAACTCCCCCAGCTAGTAGGGTTCTTTATTGTACTGCTCTGACAGTGAGGGAATTCTTCACTCTATCCATGGAGTAGTAGCCTCATCCATTTTTAGAGCCAGTGTCAATATTGAAGATCCTTTTGGTCCTAGGGCCACAAGGAAGGATTGTAAGGACACTGAAGGAAAGGGTAAGGACCTCAGTCATGGAAGTTTCTTAAAGTGAGACTCCACACAGGCACAGAGCCCATATCTGTGCATGCACAAATGACCCCCTGAAGAACTGCAGCTACAGGTAAGCAATCTGTCTTTTTTATTTTGGTGCCATTGCTAGAAACCACCTTAAAATATAGCTCTGCTATAATTTGCTGTGCTTCTGCTGTAGACCACCCCCTGATGACATTATTCTCTTGATGTCCCTTCCCCAGACAAAGTCAGCATTTTAGAAGGCTTCAGCTCAGTGGTTCGTGTTGCCATCGAAACAGCCAGTTTCCAGGTGGAGGTTGAGCTGGCTCCAACGATTGAGATCCCAACTTGTTGGCCTCGGAAAAGCAAGTGGCCCCGATGCTTCAGGCACTGGCCTTGCCAGGAAAAAGTGCAGTGTGTTAAGGTACCAGGCGAGCTGGTATTCAGAGAATGTGAGTTTAGGATTTTGCAAAAAGAAATATGTGGAGAAACACACACTGGGAAATTTAGGCAACTCAGTTTGATTTACCCCATGTCAGAGATTGCCATCCTGCTGATTTCTTCCCAACATGAAAGAGAAGAGGTGAAAGGGTGGGGCCAAGCAGCACATCAGCAAAGCTTTTGACAAAGTGCTCCATGACATTCTGGGGACTATCAGGAGAAACATAGTTGGCTACAAAACTGCACACAGAGAGTCCTGCTCTTTGGCACCTTCCCAGAGAGGTAATGAGTAGGGTAACGTAACGCAGGGCTCAATCCTGGGTCACGTGTTCGTCAACATTTTATTAATGATTTGGATGAGGAAGTGCTAGGAAGGATTATCCCATCTGCAGAGGACTTAACACTGGGTGGGATGGCTGATATGCTGGAACACAAGTTTCAAGGTGATCTTGATAGGCCGGAGCACTGGGCTGAAAACAACAGCAAGAAATTCAATACAGACAAATGCCAATTTCTGCTCCTAGGAAAAAGGAACCAATGCACAGTTACAAGATAGATGACACTAGGCTCAACAATACTACAAGTGAGAATGATCTTAGAATTGTTATACATCACAGGCTGGGTATGAGCAAACGTGATATGACTTGCAAAAAAAGGGCAAATGTTGAACTGGGCTTCATTAAAAAAAGTAATAGAAATGTAAAAACATAGAAACAGAGCAAGCCAGAAGGGGTCTCCCAGGCCATCTAATCTGACCCCCTGGCTCCAGCCAGCTCCACTTATAACATGCCTAGTATGTGCATGTCCAGCCTACCCTTGAACACCCTGCAAATCATGTGGGACACTGGTTCCCCTGTCTTTGTCACCACTTAGCCCCCACCTTGAGTATTGTGTCCAGTTCTGGGCACCACAGTTTAATGATGCAGACAAACTGGAAAAAGTATATATTTTAATTGTTATTGTTTTAATTTATTGTGTATTTTATTTGATGTTGTGAGCCGCCCCGAGGCTTCGGCAAGGGGCGGCATAGAAATGTTTAAATAAATAAATAAATAAATGTTCAGAGGAGGGCAAGAAACATGATCAGGAGACTGGAAACGAAGCCCTGTGTGGAGAGATAGAAAGAACTGGGCATGTTAGGCTTGAGAAGAGAAGAATGAGGAGAGTTATGATAGCACTTTTCAAATATTTAAAAGGCTGCCACACAGAGGCAGACCAGGATCTCTTCTCAGACATCTCAGAGTGCGGGACATGAAATGAAGGGCTTAAATTGCAGAAAGCCAGATTCTGGCTGAATATCAGGAAGGACTTCCTGACTTTTAAAGTAGTACAACAGTGGGACCAATTACCTAGGGAATTTGTGGACCTTCCCACACTAGAGGCATTCAAGAGGCAATTGGACAGCCATCTGCCAGGGATGCTTTAGCTTGGGGTCCTTCATTGAGCATCGGGTTGGACTCAGTGGCCTTATAGGTCCCTTCCAACTCAACTATTCTATGATCTGTCAAGTGGAATGCAACATGTGAGTCATACACAGATTTTAAACCGTCCACTTTGCGGGAGAGATGGCAAATGTTCCCAGCTCATGGAACTTTAGGGATGGCACCATCCCATTAGCTGCTATTAGTTCTGAGGAGATGGCCACTCCCAGGTTTCACTTAACTTATTGTTGTCAAGGGTGGAGATGATGTCTTCTTCCATATTTACCTTTGCAACCACTAAGCATGCCCAATGTTCTTCTGTCTCCACCAGCAGACCAATGAATAAGCTAAGAGGAGACATGGTAATTTCTGGATCCCTCTCCAGATATGTATGGAACTCTCCACTGGACACTCGCATAAATCCTTGCTTGTTGAGCATATCTTCTAGATGTATTCTAAGGACAATAAACCAAACATGTATGAGTTCCTTTTAAGTTAGCATTGTCCATTTTTGGACTATTCACACTCTCCCTTGTCCCTTGAGAATAAGGTCAAGTAAGTTAATTGATTATATTAATGCAGTCCTGCGCCAATGTCTGGCTTCTCTCTGATGCCACACTGATTGGAACATCTTCAGTTATCATTTTCCAGCCTTCCTTCCATGACCTTTTCTACTTCTTTCTACAGTCTTTTGGCTTTGATCTCTTGGCCTCATCCAATTACCACTGGCACCTGAGCTTCTCACGAGCGGAGCGCATATTGATGGAGGGACTTGATGAAGATGGCGGTTGCCGCATGAAGTGTTTCCGGGTGGTAAGGCAAATGAAGGAAGATATCTGGTGTGCAGGAAGTAAGCCCATCCTCACATCCTTCCACCTGCAGGTACATACTGCCAAGAAGAACAGGGAAGCTGGAGAGGGGAGAGAAAGACCTGCAGCTCAGGAGCTCCTGTTCTGGAGGACTTGCTCCTTGCAAGCAGCTGGATTGACAGCAGGGAGCACATGGAGATGTCTAATGCTCAGTCAGACCTTTGGTCCATCTTGGGGCTACCTAGCCTGCTTCCCTCAGCTGCTGTCCCCAGTCTTGGGCAAAGACCTTTCTCAGACCTGTTAACTGAAGATCAGTTTGACTGGGACTGAGCCTGGGATCTTCTGCCTTAAAGCTTGTGTTGGGAACCACCAAATAAAATAGTTCCTAGAATCCACTCAGTTCTGCCAAATTGGACTTTTTTATTCACAGGCTCTGCACACTACCTGATTTACAATGGTCACATTTCATAGCATTGATGATACACACAGTAAAAGCAGAAAGACTTTTAAAATGTGGGTGGTTGTTTTAAATTCACCTCTTTCTGCCAAGAAGCTCAGGGTAGAAGAGCCTCACTTTATATTCAGTAATCCTGGGTGGCAGCATATACTAAATGACTTGACCAGTCAAGCTCCCTAAGCAAGAAATAGAACCTGGGCCTCTGTGGCCAGAATTCAGCACTCCAGGCACTGCAACAGCCCGGATCACACTGATAATTTAACAGAGCATATACTGAACTTACGCATTCTACCTATTCAGCTTTTTGAAATAAGATGCAATTTTAAAAACCTTAAGTTAACAGAAGTAATTGTGCCTGCACTGAATACTTTCAACAGAGCCATATTGGGCCCCAGCTATATGTCATGCATGAACTCCCCTACACAGTGTGAAGTTTGGCCTACAGCCCAAATGTCAGGAAATACCAGTCTCAGCAACAGAACTTGTAAGGGCTGAAAACAGACAAGACACTCTCTGGGACAGAGAACAGAGCAGTCTGGTGGAAGAACACAAACACTGTGGAGTCTTTCTGTCTCCTATGGAAACAGCTTTGTCCTGCGTGGTAATGGCCATGCTACAGGAGCAGGGGGCATCCAGCTGCATTGCTTAGGCATTCATGATGGCTCCTACATTTTTCCTGAGGTGCAGTGTGGGGTGGTGGTTAGAGGGTTAGACTGGAGACCTGGGGATCTGGGATCTAATCCCCACTTGCCATGAAGCTCACTGTGAGTTTTTGTGCAAATCACTCACTTTTACCCTAACTTACAGGGCTGTTATTGTGAGGATAAAATGGAGCTATTTAGGTCACCTTAGATTCTTCACAGGACAGAAAAGGTAGGAGAGAAATGCAATGTAATTTAATGATAATAAACTTGGGCCTTTGGAGGTTCTTCTGAGTCCCTTAATTTTTTTGATGATGTCACTGAGGGAGCTAGAAATCTTGATCTACAACACCTTCTCTGAGGTGGTTCAGTTTCTGCCCCTCTCATACCATCACAGTGAAGCTCTCTCAAGACATGTGGCTGGTGTATTCTAGGAAGGGCACAGCAGATGCCTTCAGGCAGAGACTGGGTTTGCATGGCACAACAACCCAGAATGGATTGCTACCCATTGCTAACCCATGATGAGTTTTTGAATTGTACAAAACCACACAGGTTTCCACAGGGTGACTTGTGCACAGGTAACAAATTACCCCAAAAATCCAAAGGTTGTTTTTAATATTGTTTTATCTGTGTGTTTACTGTGTGTGGTGAAATCCAAACCCAGAGGATTGACCCTTCATGGGTATGGGAAACCCTTGCTGCACTTGCCAGGGGCTACTTAGTGAACACCAGTGCCAGCCATATCCAAAGTGCTCAAGAGGCACTTGGAAGCAAATAGCACTGGTTTCCCCCCTGCACGTGCCATGAGCCATTTCGGACTCATTGTGGCTTTTTCCCCCTTTAAACATTTTTTCCCGGAAATCACAAAAACAAGTTCTTAAGCCAGGTTTCATTATCCCCATTAGGACAGCTATGAACATTCCCTTCAAAGTCCCCTAGGAATACCTCGGAGGAATACCCAGAATTGGCCAACTTTAAAAGAAAAGAGAGAAATTTTTTTGAAAATTTTTATTTTCTTAACATAAACAAGTACATACACACACACACACACACACACACACACACACACAAAGAATGTGAAACAGAACAAACTAAAATGAACAAAACAAGCTAAAATGAACAAAGTGAACAGTTGCCAAGGGAATTCCATAGATATACCACCTATACATTAAGTCCCCTAAATCTATCTTCTGGTCATTCGGTGCTCTATGAGAGTTTAACAAGAAAGAAATCATTAATCTGTACAACAGCAACTCTTCCAGTTCCGTCAAATCCTCTACTGCTTTTTCCTTTTTCCTTTTCTAAACTCCCCTCAGATCCCATTAATCATGCTGAGCATAATAAAATTTCCATTTATCATTAAATTCATCTAACAGACTTTTGTCTACATAGTTAGTTAACTTAGCCATCACAGCTGGTCTATTCAGCTGGTCTATTTTTCCATTCTTCCATTGTTGGGGGCTCTGGTGATTTCCATTTAGAAGCAATTGTGATTCTTGCTGCAGTTGTCATATACTTAAATAACTCTAACATATTCTTTGAAAAGGTCTCTGGCATTACAGTCAAACGCATATTCCTGGGACTCATGGGAAAGTTCATTTTAAAGATTTTCTGGATTTCCGCATGTTTCCAAAACCTTTTCATTATTTCACAGGTCCACCACATATGGTAGAAAGTCCCATCCAACTTGTTACATTTCCAGCATTTTCCATTATAATTCTTATCTATTTTTCAATATCTTTTGGAGTAATGTACCACTGATAACCCCTTCATAGATCACTGCCGAACCATGGAGGAGGGGCTTGAGTAGCGCAATGAAGCTATGAGCTGTGCAGGGCCACCAAAGACGGACAGGTCATAGCAGAGAGCTCTGACAAAACGTGATCCACTGGAGAAGGAAATGGCAACCCACTCCAGTATCCTTGCCATGAAAACCCCATGGGCAGTATCAACAGGCAAAGAAATATGATGCCAGAAGATGAGCCCCTCAGGTTGGAAGGTGTCCAATGTGCTACTGGGGAAGAGCAGAGGGCTAGTACTAGTAGCACCAGAAAGAATGAAGTGACTGGGTCAAAGCCAAAAGGACACTCAGTTGCAGATGTATCTGGTGGTGAAAGGAGAGTCCGATGCTGCAAAGATTTGCTGCAAAGATAGGAATCTGGAATGTAAGATCTATGAATCAAGGCAAGCTGGACGTGATCAAACTTGAGATGACAAGACAGAACATTGACATCTTGGGAATGAGTGAACTAAAATGGACAGGAATGGGTAGCCATCATAGTCAGTAAAACAGTAGGAAAAGAAGTCCTGGGATACAGTCTCCAAAATGACAGAATGATCTCAGTTTGAATCCAAGGCAGACCATTCAACATCACAGTAGTGCAGGTCTGTGCCCCAACCACTGATGCTGAAGAGGCTGAAGTTGACCAGTTCTATGAAGTCCTACAACACCTTCTAGAAATAACACCAAAAATTGATATCCATATCATCATGGGGGATTGGAATGCTAAAGTAGAAAGCCAAAAGATAACTGGAATAACAGGCAAGTTTGACTTTGGAGTACAAAATGATACAGGGCAAAGGCTGACAGAATTTTGTCAAGTGAATACGCTGGTCATAGAAAACACTCTTTTCCAACAACCGAAATGACAACTCTACACATGGACATCACCAGATGGTCAACACAGAAATCAGATTGACTATGTGCTCTGCAGCCAAAGATGGAGAAGCTCTATACAGTCAGTAAAACCTAGACCAGGAGTTGACTGTGGCTCAGATCATGAGCTTCTGGTTGCAAAATTTAGGCTTAAATTGAAAAAAGTAGGGAAAAGCACTACGGACAATGGTTCACAACATTGTACAAGAGGTAGCAACTAAAACCATCCCAAAGAAAAAGAAATGCAAGAAAGTAAAATGGCTGTCTGAGGAAACTTTACAAATAGCTGAGGAAAGAAGGGAAGCGAAAGGCAAGGGAGAAAGAGAAAGATACACCCAATTGAATGCAGAATTCCAGAGAATAGCTAGAAGAGATAAGAATGACTTCTTAAATGATCATTGTAAAGAAATTGAAGAATACAATAGAATAGGAAATTCTAGAGATCTCTTCAAGAAAATTGGAGATATGAAGGGAGCATTTCATGCAAAGATGGGCATGATAAGGGGCAAAAATGGCAGGGACCTAACAGAGGCAGAAGAGATTAAGAAGAGGTGGCAAGTTTACACAGACGAACTATGCAAGAATGATCTTAACATCCCTGATAACCATGATGGTGTGGTTGCTGACCTTGAGCCGGAATCCTAGAATGTGAAGTGAAATGGGCCTTGCGGGGGTCTGAGCAACAAAAGCTAGTGGAGGAGACAGTATTCCAGCTGAGCTATTCAAAATCCTAAAAGACGATGCAGTAAAAGTGCTACACTCAATATGCCAGCAAGTTTGGAAAACTCAGCAGTGGCCACAGGATTGGAAAAGGTCAGTTTACATTCCCATCCCAAAGAAGGGCAATGCCAAAGAATGTTCCAACTACCACACCATTTCACTCATCTCACATGCTAGCAAAGTTATGCTCAAAATCCTACAAGTTAGGCTCCAGCAGTATGTGGACCGAGAACTACCAGAAGTACAAGCAGGGTTTTGAAGAGGCAGAGGAACTAGAGATCAAATTGCCAGCATACTCTGGATCAGGCAGAAAGCTAAGGAGTTCCAGAAAACATCTACTACGCTAAAGCCTTTGATTGTGTGGATCACGCCAAATTGTGGCAAGTTCTTAAAGAGACAGAAGTACCAGACGATCTTATTTGTCTCTTGAGAAACCTGTATGCGTGTCAAGAAGCAACAGTGAGAACTGGACATGGAAGTACAGAGTGGTTCAAAATTGGGAAAGGAGTACGGCAAGGCTGTATACTATCGCCCTGCCTATTTAACTTATATGTAGAGCACATCATGCAAAATGCTGGGCTAGATGAATCACAAGTTGG